CACAGACAAAACACACTGGCTACTGGTACAGACAGAACACAGACAAAACACACTGGCTACTGGTACAGGCAAAACACACTGGCTACTGGCACTGACATTTATCTTCCATCCATCATACCCCTTCCTCCTCCCCCCCCCCAACAGACAAGTGACTGCATCGAGCCTGCGGTCCATCCACGCGTCCATCGAGGCTCTGTGTCAACAACTTGTCTCCTCTAGCCCACGATCTGACCTCTCCGACCCCAGCCCAGCCGCCGGGGACACCCACCACATACCCGTGGGGGACACCCACCACATACCCGCCCGGGACACCCATCACACACCCGCTGACCCGCGGCCCGACAACACCAGCGGGCCGGTGGGAGGGAAGGCGTGGTCCCTGGGGACGGAGGAACCTGTGAGGAGAGGGAGAGGGAGGGAGGGAGCTGGAGGGAGGAGCAGGAGTGAGGAACGGAGGAGGATAGGAGAGCATGGAGGAGCGAGAGAAGGGCGCGGTGCAGGGAGGGACAGATCCGAGGAAGGTCAGAGAGGAGGAGTGGATGGAGGAGAGAGGGAGCGAGCGACTAGAGCACAGGACTCGAACCACCGCCTCCCACAGCTGGACCGAGTGGCGCTCTTTGACTCGGACACACCCCCAAGGTCACCCACCTCCTCCCCGCGTGACCTTGGCGGCCGTGCGACCTCTGTGTCAAGGCCGGTGGGTGAGGTGGGGGAGAGCTTCTCCCCACGGGACGAGAGGAAGATGGTAGAGGCGCGGGTACGTCTGTCGCGCTGGGCGGCCAATGGGGATACGCCCTGGGACTACTCTGTGTCTGCCACACCGCACAACGGACACACGGGGGGCGGCAAAGGTCACTCGAGGGTCACTCAAGGTCACTCGGAGGTGAGTGCAGATGTGGCGAGCCCGGCGGGAGGACGGGGAGGAGAAATGTCTCACGACGGAGGGGGGGGCTCGAACAGCTTCCACGTGGTGTCTGGGGACAGGGGGGTGAGGGGGGACTCACTGCACCAGCAAGGTGAAGGTCACTGGTCTGACGACGCGAGCTCGGTGGAGAGCGAGGGAAGTTTTGTCACGCTGGTGCCGGAGGGCGGAGGCTGGCCGCGCACAGTGTCGGAGCACTGGCCGTCTGACGGGAACCCCCGGGGTGTGTCCAGATGTGCCGCGTGGGAGGCGAACCCCGACCTGACAGAGGGTGAGTGGGGCGTGGTGGGAGACATCGCCCGCATCAAGGCCGCCGTGCTGGGCCCACCCACAGGGTCAGAGGTCAGGGATGTGTACCCTCTCACCCCCGACTACCCGACCTCCACGCCTGTCGCCAAGGTCAGCTTGTCACACAAGACAACCACAGGCTCCGCCCACAACTCACACTCAGGCTCCGCCCACAACTCACACTCAGGCTCCCCCCACAACTCACACTCAGGCTCCGCCCACAAAACTCCCAGTAGCGCCGCCCCCTGGCCCTGCCCGGCCACTTCACAACCCCCAGCGAGGTCAGAACCCCCGGTGCGTGGTCTCAGGTCATCTGTAGGTCAAGGTCGCGGGGAGGAGGACTTTGTGCTGCGGTCTGCTGAGTTTTGTTTCCCGTCGGAGCTGTCTCGCATCAGCCGCGGCTCCGAGCCCTGGAAGTACCGCAGTCTGGAGGACCTGTTGGCCCGCGACGGCCGGGGTCAGGGGTCGGGCCGGGGGTTGGGGTACGCGGGGCTGGGCCCGGTGCAGGCTATGACGGAGAGCTTCTGGAGGAACCAGTCACAGCCGGCCGGGGCCGACGAGGGGGTCACCCCACCCACGCACCACCCGACGCACCACCCCGGGGGCCAAGGTCATCACGCTCAGACAGTCAGCAGGTCAAGGTCACAGCTTCCTGCCCGTGGGACCTCGTCCCAGATTTCGAGTTTCGCGGACGAGGAATTGGAGTATCGGGCAGGGGGGGTGGGCGCGCGGGCGGTCAAAATGTCCCGCTCCACGTCGGAACAGTCTCTGCACACGCTGCCGGGCCGCCACGCCTGGGACTGGGGGGTGGGGGGGAACGGGGGCGCGCAGCCAGCTGCCACAACTGTCTCACAGCTGGACCTACGACCTTTTGCCTTAGAGGAACATTTCTGATATGTGGTGTGGAGGACTGTCAGACGCTGGTCTGTGGGTGATGTGTGGAGGGCTGTCAGATGCTGGTCTGTGGGTGATGTGTGGAGGACTGTCAGACGCTGGTCTGTGGGTGATGTGTGGAGGACTGTCAGACGCTGGTCTGTGGGTGATGTGTGGTGTGGAGGACTGTCAGACGCTGGTCTGTGGGTGATGTGTGGAGGACTGTCAGACGCTGGTCTCTGGGTGATGTGTGGAGGACTGTCAGACGCTGGTCTCTGGGTGATGTGTGGGGTGGGGTGAACAGAGGTGATACGTGGACACAGTAGGTGGTTCGTGGGCAGAAGAGGTGATGCGTGGACACAGGAGGTGATGCAAGGTGATACGTGGACACTGGAGGTGGTTCGTGGGAAGAGGAGGTGATGCGTGGACACAGGAGGTGGTTCATGGGCATAGGAGGTGATGCAAGGTGATACATGGACACTGGAGGTGGTTTGTGGGCAGAGGAGGTGATGCGTGGACACAGGAGGTGATGCAAGGTGATACGTGGACACTGGAGGTGGTTCGTGGGAAGAGGAGGTGATGCGTGGACACAGGAGGTGGTTCATGGGCATAGGAGGTGATGCAAGGTGATACATGGACACTGGAGGTGGTTTGTGGGCAGAGGAGGTGATGCGTGGACACAGGAGGTGATGCAAGGTGATACGTGGACAGAGAGATGAAGCGTGATGTAGCTGTGATGTGTATGGTACATCATGTATGGTGTGATGTGTACGGTACATCATGTATGGTGTGATGTGTACGGGTGTGATGTGTACGGTACATCATGTATGGTGTGATGTGTACGGGTGTGATGTGTACGGTACATCATGTATGGTGTGATGTGTACGGTACATCATGTATGGTGTGATGTGTACGGGTG